TGTTGATCTGGAGCGCATTCTTTCCAAAATTTCGGATAGAAGTCGAGTGCGTGGCTTATCGCGAAAGGATTAGCAGCAAATCCTCATTCTTTCCAATCAATACTCCTGTAGTCATTCGTCAACAGTTAAAGTACACTCCAACGCCGAAGAAAAACATCCGCGAACAATTGCAGTGCAACAGGCCGATCGATGCTATGGTTGTTTTGTTCAGTGTCATCGCTGCAGAAGGGCATTTTTCAGCATTCTCAGTGCCTGTCCTGACAAGATGTCCTGTTGCCTCGTTTTCAAGATCTTTCGAGTCTAGCATATCTTTGCTCAAATCGAACTCAGTTAATAATCACAGTCATTCAAGGCAGTAAACTGGACCCTGGAAAGCCCCCCATGGGAGCTTTGTTTCTCAATAAATTTTGACCGGCGCAATGATTTTTTGTTTTTTTTTAGGCTCGGGGGGGGGGCGCAGACGAACATCGCGTCAAAAATCACGGAAACGCTCCGTTTTAGGACTAAGCTTTTGAAGAGGAGAGGAACTCCGGTGTACGGAAGCAATTTCGTATTCTCCGGAGTTCGTCCCTGCTGTTTAGGCTTAGTCCTAGATGACTTTTTTCAGAGTGCCCCCCCCGAGCCACATTGCGCCAATTTGACTATGCTAAGAAATAATCAGTGAGATCTAAAATATTTTATGGGAGCTCCTAAGTTTGATCAATATCGTCTAGCATAATCCTAATTGGTTAGCGCCCGAAGAAATTTGAATGAAAGTCAACAAAATTCCCTGTGCGATTTTCTGGAACGCGCCATGCATCAGATTTCCAGTCAGAATCGCAAGGCATTTCCGTTGTGCAACTGGCGCATGTTATAATGAAACGGAAAGTGTTATAAGGAAAGTGTTTGGCATCCAGCCGATTTTGAAAAAGTCACGGCCCTTCCTTTTCACCCGCGAAAGAGTTGGTTGTCTCATGGAGTTCGAAGTTCCCCTGAACTTCCTAAAAAAGGTGCAAATACTTAGAGAATGTTCTCCTTCCAAATGCCAAAACACGCGCATTAGCCGTAGTTTTCTGTCTGCTGAGGGGTAAGAGGCTTCCTCACAGGCAGGATGTGACCTTACACACTATGACAGAGGTAACGTCTTGCTGTCTGCCTATGTAGATGACGTTTTTAGTTTGTCACATTGTCGTGTTTAGAAAAGACTTGTGAGAGGCTGGAGTGGCATTTCGCTTGCGCGAATGTTTCACAAGAATGCTGGGTTGTGAACAAAACTTTCGCCCCAGGCGGGACTAGAACCCGCACCTCTCGCTTTCCGGGCAAGTGCGCTACCAGTTACGCTACCGGGCACCATTTCATACTTGTGAAACATTCGCAAGGCGAACCGCGGCCAAAAACAGCAGTTAACAAACAAAAACAAAACCTGCCGCTACTCTTATATTGATATTTGAAAGCTATTCGCTCTGGTGAAGATCTATGAGTCATCCCGTCTATCACGCGACACCGACACTCATAGTTTTTTTTTCGGTTTCCTCCTCTCAAAAGAACGGGGATTGAGGTTTTGAATGATGGTGGGGTATTTTCCATGTCTCATGCTCAGCCTTGAATTGCTTTCAGTTCAATAAGCCTGGGAGGTGGTTTGAAGAATCAGATCTGTGCGGGGCGGAGACTATGGCCACAGTTCATTTCATAGATGTTAGGGGTATCCAAGCAGCCCCTCCTCTACAGTCCCGCCTGGGTCGCCCTCGGTGTATAATGTTGGGGATATTGGGCTTGGATGGAAGTTGATCACCACCATCAGTCCAAAAGTGAAGAGTTGACGTGTGTGGAGCTCCCTGAATGTTCCCGTAGAAACCACCTCATCGACTTAGATCACTGGCTTTTGAGCCAAATCAAGACTTTCAAAGTTCTGGTAGTAAAAGAACGGAAGGTTGGGGGGCACTTGCTGGCTTTTTTATCTCCAAGCCATACTTCTGGTGGAAGGGTATCAAAAAGCCGCGCTGTGTGGGCTTCTAGAAATGGGCAGTAATTGTGGATATGCCTGCCTCCGAGCCAGTTTTTTCGGAAATATTTACAAAATAGCTTTTTTGAGAATTTGTGCATCGTCTCTTCTCTCAGTCGTTGTGCTCTCGCCTGTCCTTTCTTCTGCGCGCTGCATGCTTCATTGCCTGAGCAAAGCCGAACAACATTGAGGAAACCCTTAATTTTGGCATTTTTGACAGATTTTGCACTCGCAGGTCCAATTTATATGTATTAGGTCGGTCCACAATTTTTGAGAACCTTTGGTGTTTTTCGATTTATTACTTATCTTATTTCTCTGATCTACTTATCCAGCATAGTATACATCATTATTATAACAACATATCACCAATGCGAGGGTGGGTATTCAGTGCCTCTTGTGGACTTTCATAGAGTTCTGATCGAAGGAAAATTGTAGTCCCGAATCAGTTCTCAACCCAATCTGACATCATCAAGTTCCTGTTGGTTTCCCATAGTTCCTTCGGATGACCATCTATAATACTCATTGGTGATGTGGACTGGGTGCAGTGTGCTAACAAATCCACGAGCCGCAGTAGATTTGCTCAAACGATTCGGGAGTTCTGACAGTAAAACCCAACTCCCTCTGAATTCGAACTTCCTGAGTCGTTGGCGCAATACGGGAGGGCCTTTGCGCTGAAGACCGGCATCAACTAATACCAGTGTCAGTGATGGGAAGAATCGTTGACAGCTTGATGGCAACGCCTTCAACTTGAAAGCAAAGGAAGACAAAATCTATTTTTTCTGAGGTCGTTCGAGCCCGCCTTGCTAAGAAAATTCCTAAAAAATTGGAGACTCTCGGGCGGTCAGTTCTTTTAGCTCCGCCTTGTAGCACTAATCCTGCGTCAACGAACGACTATCCGCTCTCCTCTCTCAATCACCTTCTGGAGAAGAAATCTCACTTGAATCACCATAAAGTCAAAATCGACATCCAATATTTCTTCGATCAGAACTCTATGAAATTCTACAGTCGTATAACTACATTTCTAATTGCTACCACGCTGCATTGGTTATATGTTGGTAATAATGGTGATGTATACTATGCTGAATAAGTACATCAGAGAAATAAGATAAGTAATTGAATCGAAAAACACCAAAGGCTTCTCAAAAATTATGGACCGACCTAATATTTTCTCGTGTAAGAGTTGCATCAGTTTAGTCGTGAGGAGGTCTTTAACCACGGTTTCGACTACTACAAGACAAGCAAAATCTCACACAAATGCCCAAGTCTGATCTCCTTTCCAGTGAGCGTGCAAGCAAACAACCATGGATCTATGGGGTCAGATGATGCATCGTATGATGAATGACTACTTTCGCGACTTCAATCGTTGGGACAGAAGCCTCTATCCATATTGGAGACATGCCGACCATTCAGTGATGCACGTGGCTGATGAAACTCAACAGGTTCTTCAATAGACTCCCTTTCGTAGGTTACCATTAGCTCGTCTGTTGTTGATCGTAGGATAGAAAATGACCTGGAACCAGTTTAGAAATGGTAACAAGAACAGTCAGGTCGAGCGTAAAGAGCATTTTTGGGCAGGTTGTCGACGATGACAAAAAGTTCGCTGTCTCAGTCGATGTGTCTCAGTTTCACCCGGAAGAGTTGAAAGGTGAATCTCGATGGTCGTGAGCTAATTATCGAAGGGCAAGCAGCAGCACAAAACGGACAACAGTTTTATGGAAAGGTAAGGTGGAGTTGAAAGTGTACGTTTAGAGTTTGCCCGAATCAGCAAAGTTGTGGAGATTATGAGTCTCATCCAGTAAAGAGAGGGGGTGGGGGGGGGCCGGAGGTAGGGCACGTGGTGTTACAGTTCATATCTCCTAGATGAACTCAATTTTTACAGGTGGAGGGAGCTCTGAGGTGAAAAGAGCGAATTGCTACGCGCCGGGAGCTCTGAAAATTGTTGTTCCTCTAGGTGGGCAACAACGGATCTTGTGCCTCCCTCCTTACTGGATGAGACCGAATTGATTTGGTTGCCCTTGGACAAGGTTGTATTCGTACTTTGCGCCGAATTGGAATGTGCTTACCGCAAAGACCTTGCCGACGGTACGGAAAAAGCGTCACAAGGTGCTGGGGCATGTCGATTAGCCGATGTCATTCTTCGCGAATCGAGCGATTCGCAAAGTCTGACGTCGGCCTTAGCGCGGAGTCGGCGGCAAACTCTGAGCCACCTAGCCTGCGTTCATATTCGTCGGACGACGCTGTGGAATAGGACTCGCTTTAAAGAGAAGGAAGATTGCGAGAGAGAAAGGCAGGGAACATGGCCTTTCTATTAGGCCGATGCAAGACTGTGAATCGAGCCATTCGCTAGCGTCCGCGGTTTACGGTACCAACCAATCGAGCGATTCGCTGGCCGCGACGTGACGCTAGCGAATCGCTTATTTGCGAAGTCTGGCATCGACCTTACGCGCTGTCGCCGGCTGACTATGACCGCATTTAGCGATGGGAACCTTAGAATGGTGAAGACACTTTATTATGAACCAACCTAAGCTATGGGTGAAATCGATTTACTGAATCTTCAGGTCATTCATTCGCAAATGGACACTACCGGAAACAGTGAATCTTGAAGCTATCCGTACTCAACTCAGCGATGCTGGCCATCTATCCATCGAGGCACCGAAAGTAACCGCGACAAGCACCCAGCGACGCACGATCCCGATAGAGAGAGCCCCTTCCCAGTGAAGAAATCTCGTCGAATCGAAGACATTGAGATGTTTCTTTTCCTCTGTATGGGGTAGTGAATCCCCAGATGGGCAACTTTCATGGGCAACACTTTGATAGTAACCTGTTCACTCTTACTCTGGACTGTCTATTTGTAAGCTCTGTTTCCCGCAGGATGCTTGTCATATATGCGTACTTTAGTGGCCTAAGTAGCAAAGCTACAGCCGCCTCCAAAAAATCAATGTTTTTTTTTATGATTTTGGTGCTGATCGATGGGTACCCGACAGGAGACCCGTTGCGCGGCAAGAAGGAAGAGTCACCGGTCGAGACGCAGCGCATGATGTGCGATTTAGGACGCACAGGCGCATTCTTTTTAACACGACGCGAAATCACTACAGTGTGCGCTGATGAGGCGTCGGCGAACGAAGTTATACATATTATTCCCTTTGGGCGCTCGAATACCGTAACCCGCGGAGGCGCCGTAGCGCAGCTGCAAGCCTCCAATGTGCAACGCTAGCATTACGGCAGCGGTACGCACGGAAAACTGATGACACGACAAATTTGCGCGTGCGGTAGGGTGCTTTTTGTGCGCCTGCACCAATAACATCGAGCGTAACAGCGAATTTTTCGCGTGTTGGGTTACAGTACGCAAGCTCCCAAAGAGATCGTCACTAGGACAGGAGGCGGCACCGCCGTCAAATAAAATGTACCGCCGCGGCAATGCACACACTATGCTATACCTTACGCGCAACACGTTTGAAAAATGGAGACAGAGGTTTGGAACGTTTCAAAAACCACGTGTCAATATATGATTATGACAGAAAGGGTACACCACTGGCATTCTGGCCTTGACACAAGTCTGCCAGGTAGTTTGTGAATGTTTTAGATCTGAAAAAAAAAACGAGGCTAATGTGGCTCGGGGGGCCCTGAAAAAGTCATCTAGGACTAAGCCTAAACAGCAGGGACGAACTCCGGAGAATACGAAAATTGCTTCCGTACACCGGAGTTCCTCTCCTCTTCAAAAGCTTAGTCCTGAAACGGAGCGTTTCCGTGATTTTGACGCGATGTTGCGAGGTGGCCCCCTCCGAGCCACATTGCGCCAAAAACTATGTGTCGGATCTTTCATCATGCCACTGTGGACTTGAAAAGGATTTCAGCAGCTCATTTCTGCAATTTTTATTCTACTTCTATAGTTAGATGGAGATACCACAACACAATAAAACTCGGCTCAATGTGGCTCTGGGGGCCCAGCCTGTAGCATTGCGTCAGATTCACGAACACTTCCAGTCTTGGGACTAAGCTTTGAAAAGAAGGAATTCGAGCTCGTCAGCAGTTTTCATTCGCTTCGGAGTTCCCTCCGTCTAGGCTTAGTCCCGCTGACCTTTTGAGAGACTGCCCTCCCCCTCCCCCGGTGGCACATTGCGCCTGAAAACATAGTATTAAGAGAGGCGGCAACCATAACGTTTAACGGCCCTCCCCAGCCTGACTGAGAGGAAAGGTTGACTCCTGCGTAGACCGCGCCACCTTAGGATCCACTGGTGCACAAAGGGTATTACTGAAGAGTTCGATGGTCAAGTCCTTTTCTGTGAGTTGAACGACCCGTATGATGGTGACGGGGGATAGGAACCACCATCTGGATTTAGTTCTTTCATCACTAACAAAGGCAAATGCAAGATTTCCTATATTCCGGAACCTGCGTCTTCACACAGTAGCCACCTTAGGCTAATCCATATACAGGTCAATCAAACCCTTCAAACCTCAACTCTTCTTAATTCCAACTTCCATGTTCCCAGCAGAATGAATCTCTCTGCAAGACGGTCATATTCGCATTTGCCGATACGTTAATCACGTAACAACTCGCCATTCCCCATTTTAGACCCGTTGCGCGTGAGGTATGGCAGAGCGTGTGCATTGCCGCGGCGCTACATTTTATTTGACGGCGGTGCCGCCTCCTGTCCTTAGTGACGATCGCGCCCAAAGGGAACATTATAATCTACAGTCAGCAGACTCGGCCTTCTTGTCGCGCGACGGGCCTCCTGTCTGGCACCCCTGATCGGTACCACAGATATGCTACTAGGTTCGCATTTACGACACGTGTTGCCGCGGGAAAGCTTAAGCTATTCAATGATATTTGTCTGCTTCGCTTATATAATAATTAGAGTGTGTAGATTTCAGTATTTATTGTTTGATAAACTCTCTATGACGGCTTCTAGTTTGATTTGATGTCTTAGTTGGGGATTGATTTCCAATTAAAGTGCTGCAATGTTAAGTGGTAATTCGGAGGTTAATAGCCACTACCAGTTCCAAAGTTTCCTTAATCTGTTGCCGGCTTTCTGAACTCGGAGAACAGCTACAAACGATTAGCGCAAGAGGTTAAAGACAAGCCTTAGGACGAACTGCTGCATAAGAGCGCTTCATAGTCCGTTTAAGGACAATTGAAGAAGGGTGACTCAAACAAAAAGGGAAAAAGTTTCGCGCTAAAAAGTGACGAGCTAAAGCAACACAGCCACGAACACAGAATGTAATGACATTGAAATTATTGATCGACGGACGTCTACGCGCGCCAAGCGTGTTGACGCTTCTCGCGGTGTCCGGACCGCCGCAACGGGAGCTAGTTTCGAAGCCGCAAAACGCCAGCTATCGTTCATTTGAATACTCCTTCACTTCTTCAATACCTTCGTTCTCCCTCATGAAGTTCTGCTTATCGCGATGTTTCGTTTTTAGTTGATTAAGACTTTGTCATATTTCATAGCACGTTGATATTTTAGATACTAACTACTTTTTGCATGAGTATGTCGGACAATCTGAGCACGTTCTTTGCAAAAAAGGAGATAGGAGATGGTTGGACATGTTCTCGAGTTCAAGGTTCATATTTACTTGATTATTTTTGAAATAGTACCGAATTCGCGTAATCGAATACATGGGATAGAAGCTACATATTGTGTTACACTAGAAATTGAAACTATTATTTAAAACTTGAAACTATATTTTCAATATCAGCACGGTACACTAGGGAACAGTTCGTACTGGATACCTCAGCCAAGGGGCTCATGGATCGTTGAGCATTTTCATGCTGGCTTGTTCGCCATGACAGCGAATGGAGGGCCAGAGTAAAAAAAAAGCCGTCGAAAGTGCTTGCAGAAAAGGTTCCAGCCGAGAGCTTTAAAGGCAAAGTTGGGCTGAGACCCACCTAAAAGCCCTTACCATGGCTAGAAGTGCTGGGCACCCAAGTGCAAAGTTAGCGCCACCTTTCTACATCGAAACCCGTCACCAGGACCCTAGGCGCCATGAACTTCTAACAGACTCCACCAAACATAACATGGTCCGCCCACCGATCGATGTCTTGTCTGCGTCGCTGCGTTGATCTGCTATGCTCTCTCTTCTCGGACTTCTCTACCGCCACTCTGCGCTCACATTATCTCTCACCTCCCTGCCTGCCTTCTAAACATTCTCCACTCCAAGGGAGCAATACCCTAATTTCCGGTGTATAAGCCCGCGCCGATTTCACGTAAAACCACCCCCGCTCGCGCAGTGTAACTTTGTACACCTTAGAAACCACCGCAAATTTGCCTATAGAGGTAAGTCGATGCCCTGATCACGAAAATGACTTTCATTTACAGTCGTATAACTTTTTTTTTCTGTGGCTGTGTTCGCGATCTTTGTCACGAAGTTATAGCGCCTGTGCGCCACCTTGTCACGACCCTTGTTTTCGTCAAAATCGGTGTAAACTTCAGTATACAGGGTTATTTGGGACCCTGATTACGAATATGACATTCATTATAGGCGCTGGCGCTGTTTGACGCCTATTTTCTGCTCGTCTGCGCTCTCCAACCGAGACATGTGCACTAAACAACGTTAACGCCAAAAACGAATGTCATATTCGTAATCAGGGTCCCAAATAACCCCTATACTGAAGTTTACACCGATTTTGGCGAAAACAAGGGTCGTGACAAGGTGGCGCCAACTGGCGCCAGATGCCCGGCCAGATGCCGCACACTGCTAAAACCGAATTGGCGGTGCACCCCTCACCTCTACTTTCACTCTGAGCGGAATCAATCCATCAATGTAATCCTGATTCTTGCCTTTAAGAAGCCAACTCCTTGGTCTTTGGAGGCAGAGCAAAAGGCGGACCGTTCTGAAAAGCGCTGAAGAATTAGAATACTCCGATACCAATGTCAAACTTTGCAGATCCAGCAGCTTTCTAGCAAGTTAAAGGCAAGAATCAGGATTGAACTGATGGGGTGAATCCAATCAAATGTGAAAGTAGGGGTGGGAGGTGGACCGCGAACTGCTGGAAATGTTTAAAAGGCAGGCAGGGAGGTGAGTGATTATGTGAGCGTGGAGAATGTGTGAGAAGGCTGTAGTTAGATAGAGAGAGCATGACAACGCAGCGACGCAGACAAGATATCGAACGGTGGGCGGACCATGTTAAGTTTGGTGGAGTCTGTTAGAAGTCCATGGCGCCTAGGGTCCTAGTGACGCGTTTCGATGTAGAAAGGTGGCGCTACCTTTGCACTTGCGTACCCAGCACTTCTAGCCATGGTGAAGGGCTTCTTAGGTGGGTCTGAGCCCGAACTTTGCCTTTAAAGCGAGCGCTAGCATTCCGGACGATATATGAGCGACCCGACACTGTAGGAAAGTGGCTCGAGTCCCTGCATACATTTTCTGATAATTTTCCGTAGTCCGGGAAAATGATAGTTGGTGGCAATGGCAGTGTGCGAACAAGTGGTACTCTCCCCACTTTCCAACTGTCGAGTCGCTGGCACTCATTTGAACCACTGGCGCACCACTGGCGCCCCGCGATTCGCTTGATTGCATGGTCTGAAACCGGCCTTAGAAAAATCAACAAAGCGGTACCCTGCTCCGAGGCTACAAGCCGCAACCGCTCAAAGAAAAGTAGGAATGGTACTACGTTAGCCCATGAAAAAAAGCAAAAAAAAACTGCTACAAATCATTTAACCCATTGCGACCACGTGCTGCACCATGTGCAGCACCCCACCACGCGGACAAGCCTAGCAATTTCGAATTTTTCAGCGTTTTAGTTACAAATCATCAGTTACTTTTTTGGACACAGGATATATCATATATTTGCATACTGGTTAAATTTTCGATAGGTTATTGGCCACTGATAAAATAGATGACAAAAACCTACGGAGGTGCAATTATAACGGCGGTCCGCAATGGGTTAAAATAATTGATCGCCGGTAGTTTGAGCCGGTGTTCGAGCCCCGCCTTTGAGGAGGAGGTCTCATTGGTTAGCCGTTCCGTCGATATAGTTGAATGTATTTAAGAGGTGGAGCCAACCAAATGGTGCCTGCAAGAGCGGCGTGCAAACTCCGCCCACACGTCTGGTGTGCCAATAAAATCTCGAGCATTTTTTTGCAGTTTTTCGTTTTCTTATTTCATCGGCGGACTAGTCGCCACAAGTGCATCTATTCCGCAAGCGCAAAAATCTGTTAGGGTTCAGTCGTGAAATGTGCCTTTAAGTCTCAAACAAATCGTAGTGTAGAAGCTCGACGGTTTTGCCTGCATCGAGACTCGCTTTCAAATATTGTTCTCAGCATCTGCTTTACCTGCAATCTTCAGAGTTCTGCTCACAGTAACCTCCTACTCACTCGGCTCGCCGAACTTCGCCGTGACTCACGTCTTTGTGATGTGACTCTGGTCGCCGAGGTGGTCCACTTGGGACATCCACATATGGACTACCTTATGTTTACTGAAGTAATTTAGGGTGTCAAAATAAACGCTCATCGAAACGTACTCGTTGCATGTTCCAATTACTTTAAAGCCATGTTCACAAGCGATATGGTTGAAAGCCGCAAACGTATGTTCATGACTTTAATCTATGCTTTTAGTTATGCCTCCTTGATTACGTCATGTGATTACTACAGGGAGCATATAATTTTGAGTTTTGCGAGCTTCTTTACAGAAGAAATAGAAATGGTGGACATGAAAGCCTCAACGCTCGAGAGTCTCGTCAACTTCTGCTACTCTGGTACAATCAAGATCAGTGCCAGTAACGTACTGAGTGTTCTGCCAGCTGCTTGCCAACTTCAGTTGAACGAAATCCAGGTCAGGCTGTTGTAATTGTAAGGTCCTGCCCAGTTGAAGGCAGAAGCAACACAACAGATTGAAGGCACACCAGTGGTGAAGGAAAACAAGAAAATGGACACTATTGCACTATTAAAACCCCAGTGGGGGTCGAGTTGGGTCAAAAAATAATTTTCGCTGAAACTCTGCTATGAGGGTTATCGAGGGGTTCCTGATCACGCATTTTTGGGCGCAAATGCCAAATTGGCGCCATTTTGGCGCCAGCTGGCGCCACAACTGATTATCACCAAATTCGCTGTAAACTTCTGTATAGGGGTTATTTGGGGCCCTGATCACGAATATGACACTCGTTTTTGACATTCGTGCTGTTTAACGCATATTTTCTGCTTTTCTAAGCTTTCTCACCTATAGCGCCTAAGACTAAGCTTAGGGGAGGGGTTGAAACTTCCGGAGTGAGTAGTACAACCGGGCGCAATGTGGCTCGGGGCACTCTGAGAAAAGTCATCTAGGACTAAGCCTAAACAGCAGGACGAACTCCGGAGAATACGAAAATTGCTTCCGTACACCGGAGTTCCTCTCCTCTTCAAAAGCTTAGTCCTAAAACGGAGCGTTTCCGTGATTTTGACGCGATTCATTCGTTCCGTGATTTGTTGCGAGGTGCCCCACCCCGGAGCCCTCCACTATTCAAAGGCTTAGTCCTGATTGCGATCTAATTAGTGCGAGGGCGCAGACGAGCAGGAAATAGGCGCCGAATAGCGCTAACAACAAAAACGAATGTCATATTCGTAATCAGGACCCCAAATAACCCCTATACAGAAGTTTACAGCGAATTTAGTGGGAATCAGTTGTGGCGCCACTGGCGCCAAATGGCGCCAATTTGGCGCCAGCGCCAAAAATGAATATCATATTCGTGATCAGGACCCTCGATAACCCCCATAGCCGAAGTTTCAGCGAAAATTATTTTTTGACCCATCTCACCCCTACTGGGGTTGTAATAGTGCAATAGTGCCAGAAAATGTTCAGAATCTTTGAGATTGAGCGTAAATCGTATGGGCTGAGTTTGCGCTCCACCCCTGCACGCAGCTTTTTTTCCTGGCATGGTAAAATATAGTCAATTTTGGTCATGTGGTCACACCGAAGAGTGAAATTGTCGTGGGGATGGAGCACAAACCCCGCCCACACGCACATGTGATTTTGGGGTTATCAGCCTTTTTTCGCTCTCTTTCATTACTGGTATACTAATTATTAATCACAGAAAATTCTATTTTTGCGCCAGTGATGCACACCTAATCGGCCGCTGAGTGGCCTTCAAGGAATGTTCGATAATTCAGCTTTGTTCATTTTCAGGACCAGTGTTGTGAGTTCCTGAAAAATGAATTGACCACTTCGAATTGTCTAGGAATTCGAGCATTTGCCGACACTTATGCATGTCCAAAGCTTTTCCAATGTGCTAACAAGTATATTCTGAATAACTTCCAGGTTAATACTTTATTGGTGTATTCTGAAATCGAGCATTTATTCCGCTAACGTTCTTAGGATGTTGTCAACACTGAAGAGTTTCCACCAGCTTCCCGTAAAACAAATAGTTGAACTAATTTCAAGCGACGAGCTAGTTGTAGGAACAGAAGAACAGGTATGTAGTCAAATTCTGCAATTGAGGACCGTATTTTGTTTATTGTCATCTGAATTCACATGCTTCACATGATTATTTGTGTATCAGTTCCTTTTATTTATTTTAGTCGCATAGCCTAAAGAGGGTAGAGGAAAGAGAAACTTCCTCCATCCGCATTCAAAATTGAAGTATCGCACTTTGCTTGACATGAACTCAATGCTTTCTGCTGAAATCCTTTATTTATGTCTTTGTTTTTTATTTATTTGTTTATTGATCTGCTCATTTATTTATTTATTTATCTACTCAAAGGAGTGCACCAACGTCCTCGCGTAAAAAAGAACAATAAAGCAAAACAGTAGTGGAAAATAAAAGTGAAATAATGTACGCAGTGCGGGGGATAGAAAAGCTCACCGGCGGTGCGGACGCGAGCGCGTGCCAGTGACGTCACTGCTGCGGCGACGAGAAGACAAGACAGCGACACTGGCAGTTCGTTTGAATGGAAGGAGGGTTGCTGATACCTCACCAACTACTGCAACTAGTAGTACCAGGAGCGAAATGTTGTATGGTATAGATACAACTCCCTCTTGGAAAAAAAAGGCATTTATATGCGAATAGTTTAATACTGAAAGCTTTCCGACCAAGCTGCCAATAAGCTTTATTTGAAGGTGTTAGGGGTTTGGTGTTATATATTAATGGATATCCTTCTATTATATAAAGCGCTAACTTTGTGTGTCGGTTTGTATGTATCTGTATGTGTGTATGTATGTATGTATGTGTGTCCGTCCGCAAAATGAAGTGAGTGAGAAGGAAGCTCATGGGTAAACAAACCGCTAACAAATCGGGTAGCTCGCAGGACTTGAGATATCAATGTTTTGCAATGGCATGATTGTGATAACACCCCAACGGCTATATAAACACCTACTTAGCACACTTTCGGTCATTCCACAAGGTGCTGCAGTGGCAGCTGGAGAGCAGTGGAGGGAGGAGGGGCAGCTGGAGAGTATGGAGGGAGGAGGGGAGGTCAAGGTCAGAAGGAGAAAGCAAAGCTTACGCACGGTAGGGAGGTTCCGGCGGTTGCTGGGGGACCAATCTGGTCGAGTAAATAAAGAACCAAATAATGTATAGGCGAAAATCACCAAGCCGATGGAGCCGATGGCCACTGGCCTTGGATGGAGGTTCTATGAAGATTCCACTTTTCCTGAAGCGATTCGCGGTTCCCAATGCGATGCTGATAATGTTGACGGTTTCCACTGCTCCTGTGCCGCAGCGCCATTCATTGAAGATGATCGCTCGAAAGTGCTCTTGTGGAATCGACATCATGATTAAAGTTAAAGAAGGCAACCCGGCTATATATACCTACTGCGGAGAAGTATGATCGACAGCGATAATCTATCACGTAGCAGATTCTAGGTATCGATCAATAAGCGAAAGTTCTGGAGCTTTCGAAAAATCGGCTCAGGACTTTCTTACCATCCCAAGTACTTCGCCATAGCAAATGCTGCAATGTCAGCATTCCAGGTGTTCGCAGCAGTAATGCAATGGGTCAGGTTCGACATACGAGAACGAAAACAATCTCTATCGAAGGTAAATATGCAGTTCTTATAAAGACCTCATTGCGGTTTATAAATTGTGCTTACAGCTGATGGAGCACGTACGACTTCCACTTTGTCACCCGGAATTTCTCGTGGGTACGGTCAGTGATAACACGATGGTGATGACCGATGCCGCCTGTCACGATCTCGTCGATGAAGCTAAAGTTGGTGAAGATTCTCAGTACCCTTCATCTATTTCTTTACTTTTGATCGCTTTTTCAGAACTACCAACTTCTCCTGCTGTCTTCACACGAACGACCAAACATGCAAGGACCGCGCACTAGACCGCGGAAACCACTGATTTTCAAGGAAGTGTTATACGCGGGTATGTGCTGCAGTCAGGCTTAACCATCGGTTGTGTCGACTCCGAAATTTTTACGCCCTCTCCTCGAAGGGATCCACCCCTTCCACAGTGTCGTTGAAAGTGACATCACTTGACACACCCAAACTTCTTCGCTACTCCTCCGAAATTGGTGCCGAGCGCGATGGGAGGCAAATATAACTGTCCATACCCCAAAGCTCATCCATCCAATCAGCATTTTTCAACCACCCTCTAAAAATCCCAAATATTATTCCCCTCCAACAAAAGTTGTAAATGTGACTCCCTCCGTCTCGGTTTTTCATGGTACCATTTCGAACTGTGTTACAGAACTATCTGAAGGGAAAGATTGGTATTTTGCTCCACTCCCCTCCCCCTTCCTTCAGTTGAATCTTTGTTGTGGAATTAAAAGATCAGGGAAGAATAAAGATGGAAGTGCGCGAAATGAAAAGAAAGAAAATTAAAATACGCTAAAGGGACTAGATCATTT